CCCAGCACAAATGTGGTGGCTATGAACCATCCTTAACTCCAGTTCCAGGGGTATCCGATGCCCTCTTCTGACCTCCATGGCATTGCACAATACAGGTGCTCTCACATACATGCAGGCAATACACTCATACACATAAAATAAAAATAATAAAGAAAATATTTTTTAAAAGTAACAAATTTTAAAAAAATACTTTTTAAAAATGGTGCTGAGAATACTGGATATCTGCATATAGAAGAATAGACTGAATCCTGATGCCTCACTAATCTTAAAAATCTATTCCAAATGGATCAAAACATCAATGTTAGACCTGAAACACTGAAACTGTTAGAAGATAAGTGATCACAATTTAACATATAGGCACAGGTAACAACATTCTGAATATGACTCCAGTTGCTCAACTGACAAATGGAATTGCAGAAAATTTTAAAGTTCTTCTGTTCTCCAAAGGAAATCATTAGTAGAGTGAAGAGCGAGTCCAGAGAATAAGAGTAAACAAATCTTTGCTAAGCACACATTTGACAGTGCGTTAGCATCTAAATATATAAAAAAATTTTGATAGAATGTACATAAAGAAAGCAAACAACTCAGTTAAAAATGATCTAAATCACTGAACAGAGAGTTCTCAAAGAATAATCACAAATTATTGGTTCCGTAAACTTGGTCAAGAGCCCTTGGCTGGGCAGTTCACAGACCCTAAATGGGATCATGCTACTATTGTTTTGTTTAAAAGTCATGATTCTCCTTGCCTCTAAATGCACACATTTACAACATAGACTATTTCCAAGTCCAGTCTTCATTACAGAAACTTTTTACTACAGCAGATAGTGATCAATCAGAAACTCTTGAGTGGACAAAATGCAATGAATAGGTAAGAGTGGATGTTTCCTCCCAACTTAGATAACTATAGCACAGCCTGCATGGCTCGGGAACATAGTAGAAGAGGGGACAGAAAAAGTGGAAGTGTAGAGACAGGGAAACGTGCATCATAATGTTGTTTTGACGTGGCATAGCCTTTGTACTCATGAACTCACCAGAACTGTGGTTATGTGCGGAAGACTTGCACAAGATTGGACCTATCAACATTTCCTCTTGGATGACATATGGGCCTATGAGGTCCCATCCCTCCCTCAGAGAATATCAATGCTTGTTGGGAGATGAGGTAAGTGGAAGGAGAATGGGGCTGTGAGATGACTAAAATTCATTATACGTATTATGAAAATGTCAATCAATTAAAATGGAAAACATTTTCATTCATCTTCAAGTTTTGTTCTGATGCTTTAGAAAATCACCAAAAGGTACTACCTTCTACTAGGGCAGGCTATAGAGACAGACCAAAGCAAACTAATATTTATTGTCATTTGTAAGTTATGCACCACACTTTTTCCACAATAGTTACAATGAAGAATGACCAATCAAAGCAAGTGGTAAGAGCACTCCCAGCGCAAGTTCGGCACTGGTGCAAGTTTTATGTGTGTTCTCATTTAGTCCTACTAATAAGCCAAAAATAACATGTTTAGACGTGTTTTATTAAAGAAGAACCAAGTAAAACCAAGCAACTAGTCAAGTCAAGCAGACAGGATTTGATAGAGTTAGGACTGGACCTCAAATATTCAAAGTATTTGGATCAGTTTTTGACATTGGCAAAATGCCAATAAATGTTCACTACTGTTCCACTTTCTACTTGTGCTTATCAGGTTATTCTAAGAAAATGTTTACCTGAAGCAAGTTCTTTGCTTACCTAGAAATCTTTTTTAAAAATATATATATTTTACTTTTGTGTTTTGAATGGATATATGTAAGTGTACCATTTGTGTACGTGAAATGCCCATGGAAGCCAGAAGAGAGCATCAGGTACCCTGGAACTAGAGGTAAAGACTTGATAACAACCATGTGGGTGTTGAGAACAGAATCCAGGTCTTCTGCAAGAGCAGCCAGTGCTCTGAACTGCTAAGCTGTTTCTTCAGTCCTACATGTCTAAAACATGTCTTCTCATCAGCATAACTAAGAGATTGTGAAAGACATCTCTGCCAAAGCAGTCTGTTAGTTCTAACGTTCTTTGTTCAGATATATTCTAGTTTTCAAGATTATGAATTCACTAAGAAAAGAAAGTCATCTCCTTTGGGATGCTCTTGGGTATAGAGCAAGCACCAGAGAGCCAGTGCATCACAGATATTCAGTAAGATTTGTCATAAACAAAGCAGAAGAAAATGGAATAAGAGGTGAACAATTTCCCTTTGTTAGTATGGAAACTATCACAAAGCATTGAGTGGGAGACAGATATTTAGAATATTGTGATTTTTCTATATCATTAGCGGAGGTGCTTCCCAAGTCTTTTGCATAAAGAATGTATTCATCAAAGAACTATAAAGAACAAATGCATCAGAGAACTACTGGTAAGTATACAAGTGAAAAACCAGAAGCACCCTGGCCTTCCTAAAGAATAGTATAAAGGATCAGGGAGTCTTCTAGAATTAAACACAGGATGCAAGTCGGCTCTAGAAAACTGAAATATCTTATTTCTATTATGGAGGATTTCTTAGTTTGGAGCAAAATTACCTGAATATAACAACTATGTTTTCAAAACAAATAAACAAAAAAGAAACCCACAGATATTTACACTAGTGTACTGTGCAGAATAATAATGTGACTACTTACTGATCTTCATAGCACGGAGGCTCATTCTTACTCCACAAGTTAGTACCTTGAAACATGTTCTACGCATTTATGAGATGTAAGAAGATAATTATTTCTTTGCTTTAATATCCAAGGTGACATATTTGCATTCTAAGATTTGGAACAAAGGCATATAAAAGAATATAAAGAATTACTATAAAGGAAATTCATACAAATTAAATGTTTGTGACAGCTCTTTTCACATAGAACGCCTTTTGGAGAAACAGAAATGAGTTGTAAGAAAAATGACAAAATCAGTATACAAATCTTCATTTAGAGAATCATTTCCCAAATGTCATTTTTTAAGAAATTCTTTCATTCTGTTGACTGTCAACGAAAAATACATCTATACATCTAGTATAAGACTTTAAATCATTTAGAATTTTAGGACTATATCACTGTTAGGTAAGCCACTGGGCTGTCATTATTTTCATCATTATATATACTTAATTACATGCATGCATTTATCTGAAACCAAATGAATATCATGTCGAAGGTTATGTTCTGGTCCTAAGATTCCTAGGATTTTTAATCTAGAAATAAATATTGTCTTAAAAGAAAATGTAGTGGAGTAATTAGAAGGCAAATGTGCCAGGGACAAAACTTCAATGGGATCCCAGCATGTAGCATAAGAGTGAATTGACATGTTGTAAATAAAAATGTACAGGGATTTAACTCTCAGTTCTACTCAAATCAACTTATTTATTAAAACAAATTACAGGCCTGTTGAGTATTGCTTTTTAAATGTACATTTTTACTTAAGATACTTGATTAAGCAATAATTCTAATAATATACTTCATATATAAAATTAAATTAAATATACAAGAGGTTATACTGCTTTGACGTACACATTTATTTTAATGTCCAGTAATCTAAATGAAATCAGATAGTCTAACAAATTTTACAAATCTAAACAACATTAGATTACATAAAATATTCTGAAAGATTATAAATGTAAATTCAACTACCTTTTTCACAAAATTTAAAATATGAAGATCTTTATGTTTCTTACATGAAAATTAATTTTATTAAATTCAGAGCACCTTTTAAAATGTGTTGAACTTTACCACCATGGAACTCATAGATGTACTTATGGAGAAGAACTAGATGAATTTTTAATGCAGGAAATAAAACTTTGATTTGTGGCCAAAGAAACTGAGTTAGGATAAGAGACAGACTGAAATGTAGTTAAATGCAGTAATTTTATAAAACTGTATTCTAGCAGAGTAAATACATTCGTAAATATTGAAAATTATTTTTAAAAATCAAGTCTTACCAAATCTCAGTTTATATACATTTGAAACACCTGCTACCCTAAGACATGTGTTATGTTTATGTGTGTGTTACATGTGTTGTTTGCATTGCATAAATGCACATATCATTGATCATCTTTGCATGTTTATATGTATTCAGAAAAACATTCTTTGCATGTTTATAGGTATTTACTAAAGACAGTTTTAGTAAAATGTCTAAGCTAATCTACTCACGCATAAACAAATAAATAATTTCAAACCCTAATTTTGATTATTTAGATGGATTATTTACATAAGTATAATTGTTTTTATTCACAACATAGTACCTGGATGGTAAAGATGGTTTTTGAAGAGACTTAAGGCAAGCTATAGAGTAGTTATTATTCTGTTTTTATGACTTAAATATCCCAACTTCTTATTATACACAATAAGTATTTGAAGGAAGAATAAATGCATCATTTGCAAATAATCACTTCAGTTACATTTTATATTAAAAAATGAGAATCTGGAAAGTTATGTTACTTGTCTGAGGCAGATGACTGAAAAATACTGACAGGAAGTTTCCTCAGGCAATGGTATTTTCCTTCAATAAATTAATTATTTTAAGTGCTAATGTCAGTAACTAATTGGACTAATATAATTCAAAAGAAATATCCAGGCAAACACCTTAAGCCACTTTGTATCAGTCATTGTATAATTCACTGAGCATTCCCAAATGAGAAAGGTAAACAAGGTAGTACATATTTAATTAATAGGCATTCTAACTAATAAAGACATGGTATGTGCTTCTGTTAGCACTATGTTAAGTAGTAGATATGAGACTGCACCAGGTACTGCCATGGTCCTGCCATTTGGGCATGATCAAGTAAAGAACATGAAGAATAATATGTAAACATAATATGAACAAAGTAAATTAATTATATGATAAAAGCTTTAAGCAATAAATTTTTAAGTAATAAAATTTTAACTCACTTTAAGTAATAAAATGTTGATAACATTTATAGCATGTTTTATGAATGCTTTGACTACAGTTAGATCCTTTATTTGACTGAGTTATTTTACACGTTTCCCAGGATAGCCCACTGGTTTTACAGTCTGACCGGAATGTAACAGTGAATGCAAGAAACCACATGGGACAGCTCACTGGACAGCTGACAGTCGGTGAGTGTTCAGAGGTAAAGTTTTCTCATTCCATCTTACTCTACATAAATTCCTTTTGCTAAGGTAAAAAAGTGATATAACTATACCTCTCCTTACAATATAGTTAGCTTGCATGGGATCTGATAGGTTATTATATCCTCTAGTGAGTGGTTATTAGTCAATTTGCTGTGGTATGACTGAATTTACATTTGTTTGGCTGTTCATTATTCTCAAATTCAAAATATACCTTTATCTAAAAATACTTTTGATAATATATTTGAAAGTATAGTAAACAGACATAGAAAACCTATTAAGCAATAAAACATTATGAAGTCTAAGTATTTTGTTTTAAGAGAATAACTTTTGATTGAACATTACTTGCTTACAAATATTAAGAATTAAACAATTATTGACAATAGTAAATGTTAATGTTTATCAGTTATTGATAAAGCTTGGTTTACATTATCTATATATGAAAGATTTAAGATTTGAAATTCAAAGATAAAATATTCTTATTTTTTGTGTTTTCTTGCTTGCTTGGTTACCTGAAACAGGGTCTCATGTGCCAGGCTGACCTTAAGTTGGCTATATAACTGAGGATGACCCTGAGCTCTTGATCCTTCTGTGCTCCTAACTCCCAGGTGCTGTGATTATGATTTATGCAGGGCTTCATGACTATAAACAATCTACCAACTAGTTACATCTTCAGCCCTTTCAGATTTTTCTAGCTTTGTCAAATACATTTGAGTTTAGATATTCATATTAAGTCAAACTATAAGGAATAATTACTTGACTCAGGTTTTATAAGGAAAAAGGCAAATAAATATTCAATTAAAATTATATAAAATTGTACAGGTTTGATATACCAATAAATGGCAAAATATTTTGGAATAAGTATATGATCTGTGATAAAATTACATGTCAGTGGTATTGTATAGCACTATTTTCTATCATACTGTTTACATTGCTATCTTTATCTACCATATCCATATTCACAGTCTGAGAGAATTAACCTATAATTTTGAGCATTGAATTATCCTAATTTAATTCCAATATTTATTTATACTTGAATCACTGAGGTTCACATTTTTAATCACATTTTTTTCAAATATGAAATATATAATCAGGATTGTTTATTGTGTCGACATTTTATAGATACATAAACTATTTGTAGTAAATTACTTGATTTAATGAAGATAAAAGGATTAGTATACAATTACCTATCAATTAATTGCCATACGTGGATACTTTGTGATTTAATAATCTATTACTTATTAAAGGACCTTTAAGCAAATTTATTTAAAATTATAGGGGAGAAATAGTTTGGTGGATGTATCACTGTGATGGCTAATCCTGGGTGTCAACTTGATTGGATCTGAGATTAACTGAAATGAAAGAGATCCTCTTGATTGGATCATCTAAAGCTGGAAGACACACCCTAAATGTGGGCGTTACCTTCTGATGGCAGCCGGTATAAAAGACCAAGGCAGAGGAGAATGCTAGGCTTCTTGCTGCTTGCCTTCTCTCTCGGTGGTGAGTTCCTCTTGCTGCCGTAGACTGAAGACTGGCTGATCTTTTGGAATTTGTCAGACCTTCAGCACCAGATTGGGACTACTGAGACATCCAGCCTTATGGACTGAGCAACTATGTATTCTCAGCCTCTCCAGTATGGTGCAGCCGTTGTTGGACTACTTGAACTCTATCCTGTGAGCTAAGCTGATAAATCTCTACACATATTCATTCTAGCGGTTCTGTTTCTTTGGAGAACCCTGACTAATACAATGACTGTCTGAAGATCACCCTGTCCTCAATGTTACTGATTTTTTTAGAATTGTATAAATGGGCCGGCAGAGACAGGTCTAAACTAAGCTGGCTTTCCATATCATAATTTTATAGTTAAGAACTCCCAGCACTTGGGAGGCAGAGGCAGGCGGATCTCTGTGAATTCATGGCCTGCCTGGTCTACACAGTGAGTTCCAGGCCAGCTGGGGCTACAAGGAGACCCTGTCTCAAAAAGACCAAAAAAAAAAAAAAAAAAACCCTTAGTAATTTTATAGTTAGAACTTTGTATTGAATTTAGTTTTTCATCTTTAAAGAAGTTCTCTGTAGAAACATCAGCTTGAAAGCTATGAATATTCAGGATATTCACCAAAGTTTAATGTCAATAGTTACATAATTCGTGCCTATCTTGAAGCAGCTGTTTGGTTATAGGGAGTCTTGTCAAATGCCATCAGAATATAGAGAGTATATTTTTCTTGCACTTTAATCACTCTCCCATACTGGACTTAATGTAATAGTAATATTATCCAAATAAGATAAAAAGAGGAAAGAGCAAAGGGGAAAAAAAGATTGTTTTCTTTTCAGTGGAAGACATTGATAGATTAATTGAATATGCAACTATTTCTGTAACAAGAAATGTACTTTATCCTCTAAAATTTAAATTAAAACCTGGCAGTTTGGGTGCCCTGTTGTAGACTGTCATATAATTCCATTGTTTTTATTTTTCAATAAACATAAAAGTACATTAAGGCAAGGGTTGTAAATAGTATATTATGTAATTATATTCTAATTCAATGAGCTCAAAAAGAAACACTTATCTTTTAAAGACAAAGGATTTCTTCCCTAAAACAGGCATGACCCTTACTTTGAATGCTGTTCCAAGGATGGTAGTGGTTTTAATTTATACAAATGGGAGGCAGTAACATGCAGAATATATCCATATTTTTAATTTTTTATTCGAGAATACCATAGAATATATTTTTCCATATTAGACCTTCTTTCATTTCTATTAATCTCTTTTTACATTTCATACAACAGTTCTTAATTCAATTTAGAAGCCCTTCCCATCCGTGCTCCCCACATACAATCTATTTTTATCATATTCAGACCATTCCCTATGATTTTGATAGTGGGGTTTTTAATTTTTGATGGATTTTGTTATGATGCATTGTATTTTCTCCTTGACTGTAATTAAGGTAGATATGTCACATCATGACTACTTGCAGATTTCTACAAAAACATCACAGCCAATGTATACCGTGTATGAACATTTGAATAAGGAAAAGTTAAATTTAACTTTCTATAGAATTTAGAGATGAATACATTTTAGCAATATATTCAATCAAGTTTCATTTTAAAAGACTAATTGTGATGATATAAAGAAACTATTTAAATTAACTTTTCCTCCTTTCCTTCTCTATTTAGTTTCTGTTGAGGATCATGTCCAAGATTTTAATACTTTGGAATGATAATCTTTGTAAATATTAAAGAAATATTGCCCCAAAATCAACAAATAGTTATAAAATAGAATTTCAGTTTTTCTTGAATTCTGTGACCAATATATCAATTACCATTAACTGCTGTCAGTTCCATCAGACTGAATACTTTTTCCAGATTTTATTTCTTGTATATATGGGAAATGAAAATTTATTTTGTCAGTAGGTGTTTGTTCCACTGTGTCCCCAAAATTATGTACGAGTTGCATCAGATACTGCCTTTCTTCACTATAAACTTACTTTTCTGTATTTATAAAGAGACGTGTAATTCAGCAGTATGACAACTCCAACACGCTAATTTTAAGACAAACTCATTTTCTGCCTATAAAACCAAAGCAAATTATTCTCTTGTATAACTAGAGTCAAAGTCAATCTAAATCCTTTTGCAATTTGGTACAAAAATTAACCTCACCTATTTTTTTGAACTTCTAAAGTTTCCAGTTTTATGTTAAGTTTGACTATTTAATTTCAGAATTTGTCCACCATATCTAACTTTTCTGTTTTTGTGATCTTTCTAACTTTGAAGGGGATAAATGTATAAAAGTTCTTTCATCAAAATTTCTCATCTTATCATAAACCTGAAAGAAATGAATGAGACTGTTAAAAGTTATTAAAGCAAGTAGAACATGCAAAGAGTCAGATTCCCCAAAAAGAAAGCAAGATCTTTCTTAAACAAGTCTCAGAATCCCACTCAGGGTCAACGTTTTCTATTATTTAATCTATAATTACTGTGTTTGTTAGCATAATATTCTTTTTATAGAGGAGATAAATGGTGTGTGATTTTAGGTAAGATATATTCTCATTTGTTGTTAGTATGATGATAATCTCCATGGCTTACATTCAGATAATGTGGATAAAATATTGAATTATGCACTTTGTGAAGCATATTTTATTCTCTTAGGAAAGATTTGCAATTTGATATACAGAATAAAAGTCATTTCTTTGTGACAGTGTAAATAAAACTTTCTTAGAGTTTTGGTAAGAATTTGTAGTTGATGGTGCTCTGTTGGCGTTCACTAAAAATGCAATATTTTCTAAAACATCATAAAGACATCTATTATTCTTTTAATGTTACTCCAATCCTTAATAGAATAGATTTAATACATTTGGAATTAGTTTAAAGATATAAATTTTGGTTTCAGCAGAATGATTGCTCTTTAATAAACCTTGGAACACTAAGTGAGGTATTTAATTATAGGTTTCTTTTTCAGCATGCAATTATTTATAATATATTTTCTGTATTTACTTTATCAAAATAACATCAGCTTATTTCCCAATTGCTGTGATAAAATACCCTGACAAAAACAACTTGTGGGAGAAGGCTTATTTAGGTTTAAATTTTCAGTTCCTAGTCTACCACTGCAAGGCAGTAGGGGTTCCAGGAGCTTAAAATAGCTGGTGGCATCATGGCTGTGGTCAAATGAGAAAAGTGAATGCTTCGGTGCTAGCGCTCAGCTCACCCTTTCCACACCGCACAGTCCATCCTCCAAAGCCAGCAAGTTTTACTCTGATTTCAGCCAGTCAATACCCAACAGGCAAGACCAAAGACGCATCTCCCAGGAGATCCCAGTCTGCCAATGGGACAGTTAACACTAACCATCACAAAAAGCAGTGGCTAAACTTACCTGATCTTTCTCGGATGATTCTTTCAACTGTCTACACATACAAGATATAAAAAGGACAAACAGAAATTTTAAAAGAATAATCCTAATAGGTACAACTTGTTTATAATATTTTTTAACTCTT